CCAGTCGCAATGATGTGCACTGACCACCAGGGGGCAGATGCTCACCGCAGAAGCTTCCTTCTGGTGGTCAGTGGGCTCCCACAGGGGGAGCTCTGCTCAGCCACAAGCCAGGCTGATTGCTGCATGCAGCAGTGGTGGCGGGAACCTCTCCCGCCACCTCTGCAGCACTAAGGATGTCCAACTGATGCCTTAGGCCCGCTCCCTGCGGGTGTAAGCAGTCAGTCAGACATCCTTCGAGGGCTCCCAGGCTGCCAGAGGAATGTCTGTCTGCCAGTTTAAGCTGGCAGGTGAACATACCCTGAGGGCTCCCAGACTGCAAGAAAGCGCAGGCCGGGCTGAGGGACACTCCCCGCCCCTCCCCCACAGAGTGCGTGAATCTCATGTTATAAAAATACATCTTATATTTTTGGTGCTACATTGGATTTTGGACCATGTCCTACTACAACTACTCACTGTTGCATGAACTGGTTTATTAACTGGTCTAGATCAAGTTGACCTAAAAGGTTTTCAGATCCCACTTCTGGCTCTAGTCTGTCCATCAAAAAACCTGGGTTAGTTGCCACCTCTTTGAGTTATTATAATAATTTCACTAGCCCAATCATGTTTTACTGACATTATTTCTTTTTTTGATATCCATTTTCTAGGCTAGCAGTTCAAGAAAATATGTAATGTGTCTGAATTTCAGCAAGGTTATCAATGCCTCTTATGATACTTTTAGGTTAATATAAAAAATATCAATAGCAATATACTTTGGCAGCTTCAAGCTCACATAATCATATCCAAAGAGTATTATTTAATAGTACTAGAGGCCCGGTGCACAAAATTCATGCACTGGGAGGGGGCTGTCCCTCAGCCCAGCCTGCACCCTCTCCAATCTGGGATCCCTCGGACATCCCTCTCACAATCCGGGACTGCTGGATCCCAACCGCTTGCCTGCCTGCCTGCCTGATTGCCCCAAAAAACTCTTCCTGCCAGCCTGATCGACGTCTAACTGCTCCTTTGCTGGCCCAATTGCACCCAATTGCCCTCCCCTGCAGGCCCAGTTGCACCCAACTGCCCTCCCCTGCAGGCCTGGTCCCCGCTCAATTGCCCTCGCCTGCTGGCCTGGTCACCCCAAACTGCCCTCTCCTGAAGGCCTGGTCACCCCCAACTGCTCTCCTCTGCTGGCCATCTTGTGCCCACATGAGGGTGGTCAATTTGTGTGAGGGTGTGATGGTCAATTTGCATATTACCTCTTTATTATATAGGATGATATTGTGATGTGGAGAGTTCAAGCTTTGTATAATATCCTTTTTTTCATGATTTATCAACATTTGTATTTATAATTTTGATTAATTTATGCTTTGTAAATTATTTGCCAGTGTCACAAATTTGAAGGAGCTAATGAATATGGTAGAGTTTTTTCTATGGTAATTTGTACAAATATCTAATATAAACATATAATATCTCTAGTTAATAAGTATAATAGTAATCATCCTTTATAATAAAGAGGTATTATACAAATTGACCATCACACCCTCACACAAGATGGCCACACCCATGTGGTCAAAGATGGCCGCCCCCATGTGGTCACAAGATGGCCGTCAAAAGATGGCTGGCAGGGGAGGGCAGTTGTGGGGGATCAGGCCTGCAGGGGAGGGCAGCTGGGGGTGACCAGGCCTGCAGGGAAGGGCAGTTTGGGGGACCAGGCCTGTAGGAGAGGGAAGTTGGGGGCGATTGGGCCAACAGAGGAGCAGTTAGGTGTCTATCAGGTTTGGCAGGGGAGTGGTTAGGGGGTAATCAAGCTAGCAGGAAGAAGCAATTAGGGGCAATCAGTCAGACAAGTGGTTGGGAGCCAGCAGTCCTGGAATGTGAGAGGGATGTCCGAGGGGTCCCAGATTGGAGAGGGTGCAGGCTCTACTGAGGGACACCCTCCTCCCCAGTGCATGAATTTTGTGCACTAGGCCTCTAGTAATAATATAGTATCTTAAACTACAGAAGACTCTCACATGTATTACTTCATTTGGTCTCCACCTTATCTTAATAAATAGCTAGTATATTACTGCAATCATTTTAAAAGGAGAAAGCTAAAGTTCTAAGCAGTTAGTTACTTTATCAAGTAGGAGCAATGACTGAAAGTGGAATTTCTGATTCTAAGAGTAAAGTCTGACTATAGAGTCCTATATGTATCTTTTATATTTCTATACAACAAATAGAGATATAATATGATCTAAGTTGAAACAAGAAGTTTGAAATATACTAGATCTAGATGTTGAGTTGTTCATACATTTAAAATCAGTGATAATAAACTGCTACAAAAACCCAGGCAATTTGAGCTCCAATAATAGAGGTGTAGTGTCTAGGCCAGTGATGGTGAACCTTTGGAGCTTGGCGTGCCAGCATTTTGAAAAACCCTAACTTAACTCTGGTGCCGTGTCACATATAGAAATTTTTTGATATTTGCAACCATAGAAAACAAAGATTTATATTTTTTGATATTTATTTTATATATTTAAATGCCATTTAACAAAGAAAAATCAACCAAAAAAAAAGAATGAGTTCGGATGTCACCTCTGACACGCATGTCATAGGTTCGCCATCACTGGTCTAGGCTAAGGGGAAAATAGTCACATGATAAGTCTGTACTGATCAGGTTACATATCTAGTATTGGGTTATGTGTTGATGCACTGTATTTAAGGGGCATCATAGGGTGCTGGTCAATGACTACCTTGAAAAATAATAAATGTCCAATCCTAAGGCTGCATAGCTATATGTCATTAATATAAATAGAAAAAAAATTTTAGTAAGCATGAAGTTGACCTCTTACAACTCTTTCAATTATAAACTTTCTTAATACTATACATCTTTGATAATTCTCTCCCAATCACTTTCTAACTCACATATTTACACAGCAAAGTAATTACTCAAAAATTTATCTTTTGGGTGAATATCCTTCACACTTTGGTTCTTAGGACTGGGATGTAAATTTATTTACGACTATTTTTCTCTTAAATATAGTTTGTGCAAAAGAGATGTTATAGTCTGTACTCAGTTTCAGAGACACAGAGGTGAGATAATATGTATTAATATGGTTTGGTGATGCCAGCATGAACTTATAATGACTCACATTTCAGTATCAGGGTGATTTTTGTATGACTCCCAGGGGAAAAAAAAAAATTCAATTATGTTTATTTTAACAGCTTAAAAATGTTTTTGTTTTATAAATATTTCACCAAATACACTCATTTGATTTATAGGCAATGTTGCAGTTGCATTTTTATATTATAAGAGTATTGGTCCCTTGTTTTCATCGTCTGACAACTTCTTATTGGAACCTCAAAGTTATGATCATTCTGAAGAGGAGAAAAGAGTCATCTCATCAATAATTTCCGTCTCAATTAGCTCAAACCCACCCACATTGTATGAACTTGAAAAAATAACATTTACATTAAGTCATATAAAGGTAAGTTGTGACTGGTGACTATTGATTGTGATTGTGAAACATTCAAATAAGTGGACATCTGTATTGTGTCACTTTAATTATATATAAGTTCTTGAGTATAAAAGTACAAATTCAAAATTAAAAGTGTAAAGTGGTTACAACTAATAGTCTATATATTTTTATACTTCCAATGTTCTTTCAACTGCCTAATAAAAACCCAAAAAACTAACATAATTGATTCTCCAAATTTAAGCTATACAGTGGGGCCTTGACTTACGAGTGTCCCGACTAACAAGTTTTTTGAAATACCAGCTGTCTTTCGGCCAATTTTTTGCATTGGGTTGATAGAGTAATTTGAGTTAACGAGCTCCTTAATGAGCTTGGTCTCAGAACGAATTAAACTTGTAATTCAAGGCCCCACTGTATTTTAGTTTTAGTTTTAAGGACATATATCATTCATGATGGAAGTCTCAGTACCTTTAAGGAATGAATTATAAAAATGTATCAGTGTCAAAAAGATAAATATTACTTGTTTAATGAAGGCAATGTTTGGTTAGTAATTATCATGTATACTAATAAAAGGGTAATATGCTAATTAGACTGAATATATTCCAGATGACCTTCCAGACATCTTTTCAGACAAAGCCATGGTAGCAAGCCATGGTAGCAGGGCTGAAGCAGAAGTGGTTAGAGGAAATTTAAAGCACGAGTGCTTAAGCCCTGGTCAGAACCCAGGATGCTACTGTGGGCTCTCCTTCCATGATGAGAAAACCTGCTAACAACCTGCATTTTTAGGCAAGGTGGCATCTATACTAATAAAAGGGTAATATGCTAATTAGACTGAACATATTCCAGATGACCTTCCAGACATCTTTTCAGACAAAGCCATGGTAGCAGGGCTGAAGCAGAAGTGGTTAGAGGAAATTAAGCAGGCAGGGGAGAGCAGTTAGGAGGATCAGGCTGGCAGGGGAGGGCAGTTAGGGGGATCAGGCCAGCAGTCAGGTGAGCAGTTAGGAACCAGCAGTCCTGATGGGTCCCAGATTGGAGCGGGTGCAGGCCGGGCTGAGGGACACCCCCCCCCCACTACTGTGCACAAATTTTGTGCACTGAGCTTCTAGTTTAAAATAATGTTTGTACAGATTTGGTATTGATTAGAACAAAATCACAATGAAGTTTATGATATTTCAGAAAGAAATTAGCTGAGACCATATTACTCTGTTATTGTTATTCTAAATCTTTTTTCAAATTCATATGTAATACAATAAAAAAACATGATTAGAAATAATCAAGTACTTAGTTTTTTTATATACCTAAAAATGAATGGGGAAACACAAAGTCATAGATTGTTTGCTGCCTTTTAACAGTTTCTTGGGCTTTCCGTAGAATTTCAGCCCTGGAACATGATTAAAGGACCACTAATGCTCCACTTGGAGAACCTTGAAGTTGGCCAATTACATTGACATGTTTATGGGAGAGGAAAGGACTAAAAGAACATATATGCTTGCCCACAATACAAATGTGTCACTATAAATAAAGACATCTAATGTGGAGAGAAACTAAATGTAGGAAAGTGCAAGAAAATAGCTCACACCTACACCTCGGTAGGCATTATGTTGAGGGAAATAGAAGGTGTAAAATGTCGTATGAACAGAAACTAAATAGATATTTTCAGATGTTAAATGGAAACGACACTTTTGACACCAGAAACCAAACTCTGCTCTTTTACATAGCCTGATGGTGTTTCTACAGTTTTGTTGGAGGAATGTTTTGGCAGGTGAAACGATGCCCGGGACAACCTACTTCAATCTCTTTGACACAGCAACAAAACAAATCACACAAAAATTCTCATTATAATTAATGGAAAATTTTATTGTTCTAATCTGCCACTCGGATCAAAACATTTTCCCAAAGTAATTATCATAATGAAATTTCATCACTTTTCTCTGACAACGCACCTACTTATGCGTGGTTCCTTGTCTCTAATAATAAAACTTGAATCCTATTTTTTTTTTCTGAGAAAGTACAAGTTATACATAACACCGTTAGTTTCCTGATTCCTTGAAAATTTACTCGCAACTTTACCAATTAGTATATACTTCTCCATTGCCCCAGAGAAATATTAGTAATAGTTGTCATAAAAATATTATCCTTATTCTAAGTTACTTTTTAAATAACTCAGTTGATTCTTATAATAGTCCTGTGAGATATGTACTATTATCTCCATCTTGTGAATAAGAAACAAAACTCTGAGATATTAAATAACTTGCCTGTGGTCATTCAATAACCATTTTGTAGAAATAAGTTTTATTCCCATAGTCCTTCTCCATAATCCATGTTTTCAGCAGTTGTAATACTCTTCTGCCCAGTGCTGTTCTCCTGAAACCCTTCCCTACCAGCCTCTCAAGAAATTATACTTCATTCATGATTTATTCTTCCCTGGATATCTCCAATTTGGTGCCAGTGTCTCCACTAACAAATAGGCTCAAGTTTCTGGCTTCCTACCCAAAAGGGACCACACTCAGTGCCTCTGCATGCCCTTCATCCAAACTCAGTAACACCTCTTATTTTAAGTTTCTAAAATAGGTATTATCAATCAACTTTGATCTACGGAAAATTTGGATTTTGTTTTCCTGCACACAACTTCCCCTGTGATACACATATTCCTACAACTATCCATACTCCCATGCTTAGATCAAATTTTAGGTCAAATCACTGTTTAATGTGCATATTATCATAATTTAGTGTATATTGTTCACAATCGAATCATGAGCATGAAACATATTTCAAGCGTTAGTACATTCCTCTAATTTAGCTGGCTTAGGTTTCTATTTAACCACTACTAGGTTGTACCCAAACTTTCTGACAATACTCTATATCTCCTCGCAAAATGTTTAAACACGTAAATTACCTACCAGCTAATTTGATATCCTAGAGACATCCTTCTTCAGCCTCTGTAAACTTGATTTTATCTGGACAGTTTGCTCTTTGGCCTGGACATGGCTTTCACCATCATCCTGAACATGCAACTCACCTGTCTCCTGTATCAGATTCAGTGTTTCCCTGAGCCAGTGTTCCCTCTTCCTTAGTTTATTTAAACATATAATGAATATTCTTCAGTGGCTCTTGAGAAAAGAATATTGAGGTATGTTATCTTTACACTTTGATAAATTCCATGACAGAGTTATAAATGGTAAGTCATTTTTTTTCCAGATTTTTCTAGACCTTGCTCAGTTGTCTTCTAGCTCTTAAAGTTAACCTGGAGAAGTTGATTACAATTCATAATGTGCAGTGTTTTGTGTATGATCACTTTTTTTTCTATCTATAAATTTTTGAGATCTTATTTTTATTCTGAGAGTTCTGATCTAAGATGAACCTCGGTGTAAGACTTTCTCCATGAATTGCATTAGGCCTAAATGAGCCTGTGTAGTCAGTTCTATGGAACTTTCTAGTATTACATCTTTGGTAATTTCTTCCTTTCCAGTGTCTCTGTTCTCTTCTCCAGCTGCTCCTATTATTGGATTCTTAGACTTCCCAGCCAAGCCTCTAAGGTGTTTGTTTTTAAATTTTATTTTCCTTTTTTTTTCTATAACATTTTCTATTTCAGTGTTATTTCACTAAAAACATTATTGCTCTTTTCACTTACTGGGTTCAATATCTCTCTCTCAGATACTATTTCTATTTTTTAAAATAACGTTTTCTGCTCCCTATATTGTGTTGCTCCTGATTTCCCTTGTTTGGCTTGTTTGCCTTTGTGTCCTGCCTTTCATGCCAGAGCTCGTCCTCAGAGGTGTGGTGCTTCATGACTAGGCACTGGAGCTAGTACGGGCATTGAGAGATTGGAGAGCGCATGCTGAGGTGGCTGAGGCAGTGGTGTGCTTCAGGAGAGAGTTATCAGGCAGGTTCTACCTTTCCTGAACGTCACTACCTAATGGTCATTTCTCTTGGGTCTGTGAGTTTCACAAAAGGACTCCTTTCAGTCTCATGCCTATGGACAGAAGCTACTGCAAGAATTAGGAGAAGGAAGAGGACATGGTGAGCGAAGGTGGGAGGTCAATGTGTAGACAGTCTCTTAATCCATTTTTAAGTGACACTCACCCTCAGCTGACTCTGGTTTCCCAGTTTTAGAGTCCCTCAGTTTGTTCTGGCTTATCTATTTTCCAACAACCATGGGGTTAATCATTTTCCTATATGTTTGGGGAGGGAGGATGGCTGGATATAAAGTCAATTTTCTTCACATAGCTTGACCTCTTTGAAGAAATGTTTTGTCATGTCCTTAATTTTAGCTCAATTACTGTCTCTTCAGATTCAGTCTACTTAAATCGTCCTTTTCACCAGGGCTCAAGCTGTTGACCCAAGTGTTGGGTTTAGCTTATATCTCATTAAAACGATACAGTGGGGCCTTGATTTACGAGTGTCCCGACTAACGAGTTTTTTGAGATACCAGCTGTCTCTCAGCCGATTTTTTGCATTGAGTTGACAGAGTAATTTGAGTTAACGAGCTCCTTAACGAGCTCGGTCTCAGAACAAATTAAACTCATAAGTCAAGGCCCCACTGTAGTATGATTTTGTTTAAAATCACCTGGGTTTCCATCATTCTGAGGGCAGATGCTTTATCTTTTTAACTAAGAATTTCTGGCTTTGCAACAAAAGCCTATCACCTATTTGATACTCAACTGATATTTTCCTTAATATATAGTTGTCTTAAGTTTGATTCTGTCTTATTCCACTGCCTAATGATTAGTCTTAAATATATTTTTTGCTGCCTCTTGGCCTCTTAACACAATACCTACCTCACAAGGCTCTTTTAAGGGTAAAATTAAATAAAGTACATGAGAAAGCACCTAGTTAAACTGCAAACTGTTATATAATTATAAGCAGTTTTTATTTCTACAAGATTAAGGTATTCACCATTCTATTAATAAGTAATTATTAAAACTTACAGTTCACTAGATATTATGTTATGATTTTTAATATAAATACGTGATAAAGATAACTATTTATTGAACAACCATCTTATAGTCTATGTGATCAGCCCCTGTCTATCTGTTCTTGTCTTCACTGTTTTTTTTAATATATTTTATTGATTTTTTATAGAGATGAAGGGTGAGGGATAGAGAGTTAGAAACATCAATGAGAGAGAAACATCAATCAGCTGCCTCCTGCACATCTCCCACTGGGGATGAGCCCGCAACCAAGGTACATGCCCTTGACAGAATCGAACCTGGAACCCTTCAGTCTGCAGGCCGACGCTCTATCCACTGAGCCAAACCAGTTAGGGCTACTGCTTTTTTTTTTTTTTAACCTCAACTGAGAATATGCTTATTTTTAGAGAGAGAGGAAGGGAGAGAGAGAAAGAAATAAAAAACAACAACACATTGATACAAGAAACATTGATTGGTTGTCTCTCATAGCACCCCAACTGGGGATCGAACCCACAACCTAGGAATGTGCTTTGAACGGGAATCAAATCCACCACCTTTCGGTGTACCAGACAATGCTCCAACCAACTGAGCCACCGAGGCAGGGCTTCACTACTCTTTATCTCATTCATTGTGCACTAACTAGACTGGTTTCTACATGCTTCTGGGAGATCCCTGTTCAGTCTCACTTCATAGCTTTCCCATTTTCCATTCCAAGTCTCTGGGACCCAGTCTCCAGAGCTCATGCTCTCACTACATTAAGGTATTCACTTAGATATAATCTACAGGTGAAGGCCTCCTCACATGAAACTCCGTACCACTTTCTATCTCCTTTCCCTGGGTTATTTTTCTTGTTTAATAATTTCTCATCTCCTCATGAGAATGTAAGGTCAACAATACAAATACTTTTTCTGTTTGTTCAGTGTTGCATTTTTAGAACCCAGATCAACAATTAATATCTATTGTATAAGTTCATATAATTATGAGTGTCATGCACTCTTCTAAATGATACATACGTAATCTAATTTGATAATAAATCATTTTCACAATAATTTTGTGACCTAGGGTTGATAAAATATGGCATTGTTGCAATGTTAACTTCAATTTTCCCATATAAAAGCATCCTTCATTCATTAGCATTGATTTATGCTTCAGTTTTTAGGCATGGTTTTAATTATATTGATATGCAAATGATATTTTAAATATTACAAAGTGATGCCATATGTGTAACTTTTTCTCTTTTTTCCATCAGTAAAATGTCTCTTTTTCAGACTACAGATCAGTATAGGAGTCAATGTGCATTTTGGAACTACTCCCCTGACACCATGAATGGCAGCTGGTCCTTAGAGGGCTGTGAGCTAACGCACTCCAATGAGACCCACACTTCTTGCAGCTGTAATCATCTGACACATTTTGCCATTTTGATGTCTTCTGGTACTTCCATTGTAAGGCAACTTTCTACTTCATATTTATAAATCACCATGTGTTCTTTTTGTGTCATTAAGAGAATAATTACTTTTTATATATTTTCTTTGGGTGTAAATAGCTTATTTCATTAATGGGTGAAACTCCAACATTATCTTTTTATAGTCTTTGTTTCTGTTTTTCCTACCTGCCTTCTATGACATATCTAGACTGAATTTTAGCTTATTTTTAGTCTAGGACCAGCCGTGGGCAAACTACGGCCCGTGGGCCGGATTTGAAATGAATAAAACTAAAAAAAAAAAGACCGTACCCTTTTACGTAATGATGTTTACTTTGAATTTATATTAGTTCACACAAACACTCCATCCATGCTTTTGTTCCGGCCCTCCGGTCCAGTTTAAGAACGCATTGTGGCCCTCGAGTCAAAAAGTTTGCCCATCCCTGGGACTTATCTAGTCTGTAAATATAGTAGATTGTTAAATATTGATGCATTGACTCATTGTTTTCAATGGTCGCTTTAAAGGCCACTTATACATTTTAATGTATACTGGACTTTAAGGATTTTTGGCTTTGTATACAAAGTTTATTCTTACAATAAAATGTAGTTAAAATGTTTGATACCTGCTCAATAAGAATTAGCACATTCATAACTAATATCATGTTTTAATAGAATCCCACAAGATTTTTAAACATGAAAAATCTCTCTAAGGTGAATAACTTTAGAATGTGCATGTTATATCAGTAATATCTTGCATTTATATTACATAATATTTTATATATTGGTTTGATAATCTTAATTAGATTAGAGGTTCATTTTCACATAAACATATACAAATAAATCTTCCTAACCATAATGTCAGTCATAAAGATGCTTTCTTTTTCTGAATGTTAAGTAAGCAAAGAAACTTCTATTCTGTATATAAAATATTAATATTCATCTAGGTGTAATAAAACCAACCTTTCTCATTTCAAAATCTCTCAACTAGACACTATATGTTCAGCATTTCTAATACCTTTGTTAATGTGTTTTAGATGAATGGCTGCATAGCAATAAGAATTGGTCTTACCACTGATAAATCTGTTTTAATTAACCATGTTCGCATTACAATAATGAATTACCATTCTAATATCATGAAACTGATGATGATAACAGTACTAAACCATATACTAATATATACTATGCCTAGAAAAAATCACTAATTATAGAACTATTAAAGTGCCTCATGATTTATATCACATTCCTCTGAATATTGAGCATTTTCAAGTCATCTAAATGCACATTTGTATTTTTACAGTTTATGGACATTTTGATTAATGTTTCACCAAAAATGAAAGTTCATTATATGGTGTAGTTCCTTTGACAAGTTACTGAGTTATTCTCTTAACAGCTTTATTATTATTTTCCCTTAGGGCATCAAAGATTATAATATTCTTACAAGGATCACTCAACTAGGAATAATTATTTCTTTGATTTGCCTGTCCATATGCATTTTTACCTTCTGGTTCTTTAGTGAAATTCAAAGCACCAGGACAACAATTCACAAAAATCTCTGTTGTAACCTATTCCTTGCTGAACTTGTTTTTCTGGTTGGGATCAATACAAATTCTAATAAGGTATGTAGATCTCCTTACTCTCTATTTTTATTTTCTAAATGTGTAGTTCCCTATGTATATATGTCATAGAAACATGAATTATAATTAAGGGTTTAATGGGCAAACACAATATATACTTTGTCTGTAAGTCTTTTCTAAGTTTAATAATGCTAAGATATCTAAGCAACCTGCCTATCCATTCCATTAATTAAAATGTCCTTCATTATGAGGAACTATTGGGACAAATGAAAACCTTGCCACAAAATAAAGAAATAGCCTTTTTGTTTTGTTTTGATTTTTACATGGGCATTAAACAAAGGCAGGAGAAGAAAACTGGAAATAAAGTTTCTCTTAACACAGGGACTGAACATAAAAGCAGCATTGGTTCATAGGTTGAAATATGATAAATCGGATCTACCTAGTTACTACACTTTATTAACTACGCACTACCCATTTTCACCATTATTAACTGAGGGCCTTATAAAATAGTTTTCCATATTGTGTTTAGTCTGGGTCCTCCTTGACACAGACACTAAAATGGAATTAAACATGTAATGCTTTTATTAGATGAAATGACTATGAGAGAAAATCAAAAAAGAGAGACTTGGAGAGCCATCAGACTACGATGCAGGTCTGATCCCGAGGGAAGGAGAGAGGAAAGCAAGTGGGGTGGGTGGAAGCATCTTACCCAGCAGGGCAGTTGTTGTTGTTGTTGTTATTGTTGTTGTTGTTGTTGTTGTTGTTCTTCTTCTTCTTCTTCTTCTTCTTCTACTTCTTCTTCTTCTTCTAACAACTTATCTAGTATTCTTCTTCTTCTTCTTCTTCTTCTTCTTGTTCTAACAACTTATCTAGTTATTTAATGCTAGAAATGAATTTCATTCTCCTTTTTTTAGTTATGTCCCATACCCAGCAGTGCATTCTAAAGAAAGTTTAGGATGGTTGTTCAGGATTCCTTTCAGAAGACCTTGAGCCAAAGTCACATGACAAAGAATCCTCTGTCTCTCAGAGAACACGAACATCTTAAAAGCTTGCTGTGCCAGGTCATTGGCTGGCAGCAGCCTGGGGGAAATATAAGCACAACAATGGTTTTCCTAGTGCAGCATCTGGAGCCCCAGGCCAGCTGCTCTTCCTGCAGGTGGAGACTAGAGAAGTGCATTGTCATGGCCATGGGGCCAGCTGCTTTTTATAATTATTTTATATCTATAGTTGGAGTTTGGCTTATAGAAATAACAAAAGAAGTAGCTACACACTTCTGTATTAATAGAACTAATACAATGGAGACTAGAGAAATGCACTGTCATGGCCATGAGCCAGCTGCTCTTCCTGCAGGTGGAGCCTGGAGAAGTATATTGTCGTGCCAAAGAACATGAAATAGCCTCCAATTCTCCATTGTTTCTAGAAATCTTTCAAATATTAAACTAACCATTGGCTATCCAGGTTTTCTTCTGAAGTAGATGCAGCAAAGCATCTATTTTAAATAGTATACATTAGACATGTCTGGTGTTTGTTTGTTTGTTTGTTTTGCAATGGTAGTCAGGATACCTCTCAATTTTATATATCTATTTTATATATTTATTCTTATAAAGTGTTTCTTTTTCATTCTATTTCATCTAGCAAATTCTTTCCATTTTCAAGCCATATTTCAGACCCCATGCCCCCACTAAAGTGGTTCCCAAATTTTCATCACCAGTGATCTCTCTGTTCCCAACCTTACATAGTACTTTCCAAAGTATTTTAATATACAATCTCATTTATGCCTGAATGATACTGTTTTAATTAATGCAACCTATACATATAAAAGCTAAGCGACCGAACAACTGTTTGGCCAGTCACTATGATGCGCTTTGACCACCAGGGAGCAGACGCTCAACATAGGAGTGCCCCGTGGGGGTCAGTGTGCTCCCACAGTGGGAGCACCGCTCAGCTGACTGACGGGTGCCAGATACCAGGCTCATGGTTGGTAAACACAGCTGTGGCAATGCGAACCCCTCCCGCCTCCACAGCAGTGCTCTACAGGGCAGTGCAGTGGCAGGCGCAGAGGAGCCAGGATGAGTGGGCTTGGGCTCCTTGCTGGCCACCTGCTGGTTAGCATACTACCACATCCCCTGAGGGGTCCCAGATTGCGACAAGGCACAGGCCAGGCTGAGGGACCCCACCGGTGCACAAATCTGTGCACCAGGCCTCTAGTAGGTATATAAGTATGTATTATGTTATCTCTCCTAAAATAGATTGTATTAGTTCTATTAATACAGAAGTGTGTAGCTACTTCTTTTGTTATTTCTATAAGCCTTACTCCCATTATAGATATAAAGTAATTATTAATAAATAATATTTAACTGAACTCACCTCAAATTTACTTGGCAGTCTTATAACTTAAAGTGATTCTTCAATGGATATTTTGTAAAACATATCATCATTTGTTTTATAAATTCAATGTTTGACACTTAACCAA